ATCCCTACATTGTTGTTTTCACCAAGACCTTCATTGTCATGAACATGTGCGTTTTGTGAGCTAGACATGTTTCAGCTTGAAAATCAAAAATTCTTGACAAGACCAAGTGTAAAAATAACGTGTGTAATAAAAATCGGTAAATAAATAATCATTATTATCTTTAGCCCCACGGTGGGCGCCAAACTGTTTACCTCGAAAATACGAGTAACAATTAAATTTGATTTGTGGTTTTAAAGATATGTGATTTAGTTCAATACCAATTAATAGTCAAGAAATATGAAGTAGAAATGAAAGAGATAAGTGAATCAAACCAATGTTACTTGACAATAATGACCTCGAGATGGGCTAAGAGCGATAACGTAAGAAAAGTAAAGCAAGAGCAACAGAGCTAAAGGACAATGCTGATGAACAATAGGCAAAAAGTAGAGAGTATATTCTTTTCTCAGTGATTATGTGTCCTACAAATGATTGGGGTCCCCCTTTATATAATAGCGGAATCCTAAATATGGAATATTTCTATTTACAGTAGGGAATATTCCTGATACAGTTGTCTAACCGCCTAGTACGGAATCGTACAATCATATCCCGTGATTTGCGCCATGATCTTGGGACGTGGTAGGAAACTAGCTCATTTTGTTACAAACCCATAACGGTACTATTTCGGGGTCGAGCACACTTGGCCTTGGTATTCTTCGAACTCCTATCCGAGCATTGCACTCTGTCTTCGAGCTTGAGTCTGGTCCACCGATTTCAAACTCGACCTTGCTCGGGCTCGGGCCTAGGACGGAACCTCGAGCCTATAAATCAGAGGCATATGATTTCGACCGTATACTTACCTATCTTGTAAAATAAGCTCACCACGATTGATTCTCATATTATATTACACAATTCGACCATCCAATCCGAAATATTAAAGCTATGGACCAAACGTCCCAAAACAAATCCCATCAGATATTCTTACACGACCAGTAAAAGAAAAGCGCATTCCCCTCCCCAAAAGAAAAAGGCAAAGAATTGCAAATAAATTCCAAAGTATTAAAGGAAAGTAGATAAAAATGGGGAAATATTCTTAAAGGCAAGTCAAAGTAAATCATACTAACAGGTTTAGGGAATAAATTCAGCTAAAATAGAATAATTACGTGTAATCATTACTAGATTTAAACCACAAATTGATCTTTGAGCAACAAATTTTAACCTTAAAATATACAGCAAGTTGACTAACAAGTAGGAAATAAAATAGAGGAGAACTTTTATTGCCGTGAAAAGGGAGTGTCTGGTCCTTCAACTTAGATTTATCTCTTTCGAGAAGAAATATTGAAAGATAAGGGGGTATAAATTCCCATTGACCTATCCCTAATTTTTAACTCTTTCGAGTATTGGAGAATACCTAGATTTGCCAATTTTGACTGATATCTATGTAGAACTAAGCTTAGATTTTCTTTTTGAAGTCGGAAGGCAAAAAAGGGCATAAACATAGATGCTTCAGTACAAGGAACGTCTGGAGTTTCTGATAAAATCCACCATTATATAGCTTATAATATATATATAAGCTATATAATTTACAAAAAATTGCCTTAGATAAAAAAAATTTTAAAAAAATAGTCAAGGCCCATTTAGGCCCGTTTGGACCCGGGACCATTACTATACTGTCCCGGTCCCGGTCTGGTTACACCCAAAAGCCCATGAAGCCCGGGTCCGTTAAAGCCCGGCCCACGAAGACCGGTCCTCTTGAGCCCGGACCATTTAAGCCCGGCCACCGAAGCCCGTTTGGGACCGGGCCGGACCGGATGCCAGCTCTTGATGCTTGTTTGAGTCCATATAAGGATTTGTGTAGTCTGCATGCCTTGTTCCCCCCTTGACTACCAAAACCTGGTGGGAGTTGCATATAAACTTCCTCTTCAAGATCACCTTGAAGGAAAGCATTATAGACATTCATGGCTGTAAGAGCAATAACCACCCTTACTGTGACCATTTTAACTACTGGAGAGAATGTCTCCTAGTAGTCTAGTCCCCCTTGCTGACTATAACCCTTTGCCACTAGCCTGGCCTTGAACCCCTAAATCTCCCTATTTGAGTTATACTTGGTCTTGTACACCCACCTACAGCCAATAGGAACCATGCCTTTGGGTACATCAACTACCTCCCATGTGTTGTTGAGGACAAGAGCATCAGTTTCTGTTTTCATAGCTTCAATTCATCTAGGGTCCTGCATTGCTTCAATATAAGATGCAAGTTCTGTCTCAGAAGTAGTATCTATGAAGGATTGATATTTTGGTGAAAGAGAAGAGTAGTCTAAATAGTTGGACATAGGATAGATACAACTGGAGGATGAGCTTGCCTTCCCTGGACAAATGTAGTCTTTCAGCCATGTTGGTGGTTTTGGATCTCTTAAAGATCTCCTCAATGGAACTGATGGTTTAGTAAGATTATTTATAGGCAATGCAGCATGCTGAAGTTGTTCATCAGAGTTGTGCTCATTAATTGCTGCTAACTGAGTATCACAGGCTGGTTCATCAAGTGGAGGATCAAATGTGGTGGCTGCATCCTGTCCTGCATCATTTCTATTTGCTCCCTGATCTACTATTGGTGCAGTTGTCCTTGAGATATCTGCTTGAGCATCATTAATCTCCAGAAACAGTGGTAAATCTACACCTTTCTTCATTGACTGAAAAGGAAAGATGTTCTCCTTGAATGTCACATCTCTACTCATAAAAAATCTCTTGGCTGTGGCCTGGGCTGCCTTCTTTGCAAATGCGAAGGCAGAGTCGCAAATGCAAAGTAGCCTGGGATTTCCCTCGATCGCAAATGCGATCATTTTATCGCAAATGCGAAGGCTGCAGGATTTTTTGTCAGGTCGCAAATGCGACATATTTTTCGCATTTGCGAAGTTAGCAGAGTCTGGGTTCGCAATTGCGAACCCTGGTCGCAATTGCGACATTAGAGACCTGTAAAATCCATACTTAGACGAATTTTTAACCCTTTTTCATATCTTCTCAAAACATAAACACTCTAGGGCGATTTTTCAAAGGCAACTTCTTCTCCAAATCAATTGTAAGTCATTTCTAACTAGTTTTCTTCAATCCTTAACATCTTTTCACTTGATTCCAACTCAAAATCAATAATTTTCATGGGGGAAATTGGGTGTTTTGGGTAGAACCTAGATTTTTCAAATTTTGAGATTTGGACCTCGATTTGAGGTCCGATTTCAAAACAAGTTATATATTTGAGTTCGTAGGTGAATGGGTAGTCGGGTTTTGGTTCGAACCTCGGGTTTTGACCATGTGGGCCTGGGGTCGATTTTTGAATTTTTGGGAAAAACTTTAGAAAGCTTATTTTCATGCATTAGAATTGGTTCATTTAGCATTTATTGATGTAATTAAGTAACTTGTGACTAGATACGAGTGAATTGGTGGTGGAATCAAGAGGTAAAGCTATAGTTGAGGCTTGAACTGTGTACGAGGCATCGAGGTAAGTGTTTGGTCTAACCTTAGCTTAAGGGAATAGGAGTTTGGTCTTATATGCTATGTGTTATGTGTTGAGTACGACGTATAGGCACGGTGACGAGTATCTATACGTTGGTGTCAAGCATGCCCGTGAGTCTTGTGTTGTGATTAACGTGACTCCGTTTGTATTGTTCATGTTTAATATGGTAATTGCTATTGTTGAGCAAGGTTTGTGGGAAGAATATTGGTATTTGTGTATTGAAGAGCGTTGGCTCGAGTTGCAAAGTGATATGTGAAAGTATAATTGGCAATTGAACTTTATAAAGCATTGGCTCAAATTGTGAACCAAGTTGTGAGGTAAATGAGAAAATGAGAAGAGGATTATGGTATTGCTCCCTTGCCGGGACGTTGTGGTTTTAAATGTTGTTCCCTTGCCGGGACGTTGTTGTTTTAATGTTGTTCCCTTGCCGGGACGTTGTTGTTTTAATGTTGTTCCCTTGTCGGGATTTTTTTTTTGATTCATTTATTCCTTGCCCTTATTGTTTGTGTTTGTTGTTTGGGTGAGGAAGAGTGTAAGGCACGAAGGGTGATGTCGTGCATTGTTTTGGTGAGAGAGTGTTAAAGCACGAAGGGTGATGCCGTGTATTATTATCATTATTTGTGAGGAAGAGTGTAAAGCACGAAGGGTGATGCCGTGCCGCACGATGTACCATTCCGCGTCGATTATATTGAAATTATGGTGAGGATGAGAGTAAGAGCACGAAGAGTGATGCCGTGCAGTTTCTATTGATTTTATGGTGAGGATGAGAGTAAAAGCACGAAGGGTGATGCCGTGCATTTGTTTGATTTCTGATTCTTGTTGATAATTGAATTGCGGTGTTCCATATATTTATCTGTTGTCCTCCTGTTGCTATTTGGTATTTTCCCGCAGCATGTTTCCCCCTCCCAGCCTTGACTATATATATTTTTGCTTTTATTTTCCGCTGTACATTATTCATCTGCACAGGTTTAATTGGTAGTCTGGTCCTAGCCTCGTCACTACTTCGCCGAGGTTAGGCTAGGCACTTACCAACACATGGGGTCGATTGTGCTGATACTACACTCTGCACTCTTTTGTGCAGATCCCAGTGCTGCAGATTTCGGACCGCAATGAGGTTTCACCTTCTTGCTTATCAGGCGACCCGAGGTAGTCCTGCAGGCGTCCGCAGGCCTTGGCGTCTCCCTCTATCTATTTTCCTGTATCTTTTACGTAGTTCCAGAGACAGTACTTTGTTATTTCTTTCAGACCCTTATTTGTAGTACTCTTAGACAGTCTGTGAAGTTGTGACACCAAATCTTGGGTAGGTTTCTTATGGAATTGTATTAGTAGTATTATTAAGTTTACAATTAATTCTTCCGCTTGCTAATTTTTGTTGATTATAAATTGTTGGCCTATAACTGTTAACGAATTTGAAAAAGGAAAGAAAGCAAATAATTCAGTTGGTTGGCTTGCCTAGCTTTCACTAGTAGGCGCCATCACGACTCCCGAGGGTGGGAAATCCGGATCTTGACAAATAGTTCATGCGAAGTAGAGTCATAATCCAAACTATAATAGTACAAGCCGAATGTGTTCTAACATAAGTTCCTAATTAATCTGCTATTAGTGCATTCATAGCAAACAAAGGAGAAATTGACATATACACAATAACATGATCAAGAAGCTCCTTCTGGCTCCTTCCTTAGCTAGTAGTTCCGCTACCCCGTTCTTCTCCAGAACCCATTTGTTATCTCTAGCTGAAATAAAAGTTTTAGTGAGGAATATAGAGTATATAAAATCGGACCGATAACGGCATCAAGTTATTAGATTGAATTACACAACCTTTATTTTGGTCATTGTTTAGAACATAGAATTTAGGGACTACATAATTACCTCAAAGGTCTCTTTGCTTGTTACTATTTGGAATCGTTTTATTACAAAATGTATATGCAGTAAAATTGCGATGAGAGCTTAAAATTTGACCCAATCTAGAAACAACAAATACGCCAGCCAAAGAGTAGTACCATTTCAGTGATTTAAAATTTCATTGTCATTGATTTAATTAGTTGATAGGCAAGAATTGTCGTTTCTGTCTAATTCGTACTCTTTTAGCTATAGGTTTGTTTGATGGTAACAACAACAAATAACAAACCCAGTATATATATTCTCACACACGGAATATGGAGAGTATAATGTGTCTTATCCTTACTCAGTGAAAGTAAATTAAAGAGGCTGTTTCCAATAGACCCTTGGATGACAGTTTGCATAATAGTAAATTTAATATACAAAATTATGTCAAATCCTTTTTATACAAACGGGACGGAATTAGAGTACAACTAGGGGCGGAGGGAGAGTATAACTTACGGGTTCGGCCGAACCCAGTAGCTTTCGTTCAAACCATGTATTTGTCTTAAGAAATTAATTGAACATGTATAAATTATTAATTTAGAACCCAGTAACTTAAAAGATTTAAAATCCCGAACCCACAAGTTTCAAATCATGGCTCCGCCTCTGAGTACAACTTACCGGTTCAGTCAAATCAATAGCTTTTATTCAAACTTTATTTATCATAAGTTCTTTGAATATGTAAAAGTTAATATTAATTTAGAACCCAAAAACGTAAAAGAACTAATTTCCCGAACCCCTCCTCTATACTTGGTAACATATTCCGTTGCATGTTACAACCCTTTTACGCTTATTTAATCGCTGCTTGCATTTTCGTTGGAGACACGATTCGGAAGACGCGGCAAGAAGGGAAATGAATTGAAACATCATCACATATTCACATGTAATAAAATATAGGATTGCAGTATAAAAATATATATATATTCATAAGCATAGGCAGTAATTTCCCATTACATCAGTATTAATATGAAAATAAAGCTGAGGGCTACAAAGTTTTCCCTAATTTTGGTCCTTTTGCAGCCGCTTCAGCATCCAGATTTAACTTTTACCAACACCCACTTCATCACATAAAGGTAAAATACCCAAACAAAAAAAAAAAAAAAAAAAAAAACACAAATCCATTCCCCAGAATGTTGATTAAAAAAGGAAAAGAAAATAATTCCCGCATACTTCAAATTTTTCCAGATAAAAAAGGAAAAAATTGACGGCGGTAAATCGTGTGAATTTTTCTATTTTCTTTTTATAATAAGGTAAAAGAACCTTTTTTTTTTCTTTTATAAGGTCAGTATAGTATTTTCCTTTGTTTTGGAAATTAAACCCGGAAATTCTTACCCTGGAAAGTCTGGCCAAATTGCCAATTAGCTGGTGCTATGTCATAAGAAGCAGAACTGCGTCGATCACTGGCAGTGACTCTAAAAGAAAGGGCTTGGCCAACAAGTAAAGCATTGGTTTGCCAATTTTGACCCCAATTTCGATTCATTGCTATCCAATTGGTTTTTGTACCTTTAACATAAACCTTCTGAATATCCCCTGCTCCTGCGACATTTGTCACTAATACTAAGTTAAAGTAATTAAAACCGTTGATTGTGAATCTGATTCCTCCTTGCTTTCTGCATGGTACCCTGTAAAGAATTTAAAAAGAAATATTATTAGTAAAGGTTATGATCATTAGGATGCATCCTTATAAAAAAATATGGTCAAACATTTTAATTTTAGAAAAATATATTTTAGTCAGAAAGAAGCTTTGCCAAACAAGTTATTAATCGCGTACAATATGAAACAAAGATCACTTTTAGTCCTCAGCCGAAACTATCTACATTCTCTAGCGCGAAAGCGTAAATATAACTATATATTTTTCGTATATAACATATAAATATTCATATTTTCGATTATTATTTTGAGAGCCGTTTACGTAAGACCTACACTAAAATCTAAGTAGGGCAGATCCCAAATTTCCTGGGTTACTGTTTGCATGTCTCAATTACATTTCTACTCCACGGAAGTAACTAAAAACTGCAACTTTGACGTTCCCTACTATTAAGGGCAAACGCACCAAAGATAGGAAAAAGCGTTTTTCAACTGGGTCAATTTAGATAGAGCTGATGATAGGGGACCATACTAAATTTTACTTGGACTTGTGGGTTGTGGTCAGAGGCGAATTTAGGATTTTTCGTACATGGGTGCACTATTAAAAGTAAGAACAAATTGTATTAAGTGGGAATTGATTTTTATTCCTCTAGTAAATAACTCAACCTTGAACCAATTGCACCTTTTAACCTTTTTAGAGCATGGGTGCCAATAGTTAATATTATACAAGTTTTAGAAAATATATACATAAAATATTTAATTTTACAGAAAGATAATGGGTTTACTTGCTCCATAATTTTTCCTATTAATCCGCCCCTCCTTGTGGTATAGCAAAATTAATCTTAGCAGGCCTAAAAAGTCATTTAATCAACAGATTTTATCACATAAATCAATAAACAAAATGCAGTAGCTAAAAAAGGGCTTTATAGCTTTAGGCACTGTGACTTACCGTCGGTAATTTACAGGAACAATTCCAGCACGGTACTCAGCAATTTTGAGGAACATAGGCATGGCAAGGTCGAAATGAGGGCGAGGTGGGTTGCACCACCCTCCATTATCGTTAGGCAAGGCGTAGTTTGGTGGGCAGAAATTTGTAGCGGTCACTAATATGGAAGGGTTTCCAGGGGTGCACCATTTCTGATCAGTACACTTAAGCTCAAAGCAAGCGCCGCAACTCAGCCCATTGTTGAAAAGGACTGTACTCAGTGCTGCATTGTTCACTCCGTAGCCTTGGCTGTATAGATTCCCATATCCACAAGCCCCACCTAGGAAAAAAAACACCTAGTGTTAAATCATGAGCATAAGCAGAGTCCAGATTTAAAATTTATTGGATTTTAAATCTTTTAAGTTATTGGATTTTAAATTAATGATTTATACATACTCTATGAATTTTACAAATAAATACAGAGTTTGAACAAAAACTACTTAGTTCGACCGAACCCGTAAGCGAAAGGCTAACTCCGCCCCTGACCCTGAGTAACCTTCTAACATAAGTCATACACATATGTACGACTATAATTATCTTATTAAAAGTAAATTAAGAAGTTTGAAATAAATTATTTTTCAAAAAAGTATAAAATTCTTTTTGGATATACTAAATGGCCTGTTTCGCCAAATTTCTAGAAGCTTAAAAGCACTCTTTAACAAATAAAAATAAAAAAGAAAAATTCAAAATTAAAAGTGTTTGGTCAAGTTTTAAAAAAAAAAAAGTAATTTCGAGTATAACCAAAATCAACTTTTGAAAAGAAAAAAAAATAGTGAAAAACATGTTGAGAAAAATATAAGAAACGCTTTTTAAAAATTTGGCCAAACAATAATTAGTGTTAAAAAATATTTTTCAAATTAATTAGTCAAACATAAAAATTATTTCACATCAAAAGTATTTTTTTTAAATCAAAATAAGCTTATTTTAGAAGCTTGGCCAACAGGCTATAAATATGACATAAAAATTGGGAGAGAGGCAGTAGTATTTAGCACTAGATTATTATCATATAGAAGTAGTTTAAATTGAAAATGAAATCGAAGAATTTTGCTTAAAATGGGGAGAAGAGAAGAGAAGAGAAGAGAGGAGAGGTATAATACCCATGGTGCCAGAGGCATCAGAGCCGCCATAGAAAGTGGCGTGGGCAGTTGTCCAGGGGCCGCCGGCGTAGTTGCCGGAGATTTTTGCGTTAACGGCCGTCAGAAAACAGAGAACACTAGCAATGCAGAGTGTCCAATTACTCACAGCCATTTTCTCACAGTGAATTGTTCAGTCTAAACAGGGGAAAATAGTGTGATAATAGGCTTTTAGAGAGAGAGGGAATGGAAAAATGGGAATGGGGTTTGAGCAGAGGGCGAATTGAGAGGGAAAGGAAATTAAGTGGGCGTATTTATTGAGGAGTTACAATGGCAGGGTCTGTAATTAAATACTCTGTTTTTGTTAATTTGTAATCTTTCCATTTTTTTAAATGAGACATATATGTGAATGTATTTATCATGGGGTTAAGCTATACGGTATAGACTATAGTATGAAAAGGGCGAAAATATTGAACAAAAATAGGATCTATATAGAGACACATGTGAGGTGCACGTGGTCATGGGAATAGCTAGGTTGCTCAAGGCACATGGAACATGCAATGAAGTAATGAAGTTTCATATATGATTCATGCTTAGACTTATGGCAAAGACTTAATAGATTAAGAGGAAGCTTGAGCTTCTTGATTTCGTGTTAGTAACTTCCTAAACACTTCACGATTGGTACATACCATATGTTATGGCTCTCTAATTCTTTTTAGGTTTCTTTGCTACGTCAAGGTGTATGAATCTGAAGCAATACACGGCTCCCTATGACCTATAGGTCATGTGTTTGAATCGTAAAATTAGTCACTAATACTTGTATCAGGAATATGCTACATAATCACACCCCTTGTAATGCGTTCCTCAAAAAAAAACCTGCGTAAACATGGGATGTTTCGTGTATCGCGATGCCCCTTTATTTTTTTGGTAAAGAATATTTGAACCATCTTTCAGTTTGTGTGTTGCGATGAGCATGCTAATCTTTTATGTACGAATTCTCATTAAGTGGATGTTTTAGAAGGAAGAAAACCTGAAGCAAGTTGCTAGTATATTATGATAGTACTAAGTACCTTTTTTCTTTAGTTGAGAATACTGGTTGCAAATAGGATACCAATTTGCAACTTGCAAATAATGAGATAATTAACCAGCTTCAAACTAGGAAATCGGTCGCAGTGTTAGTACTTGACCTTGAAGCATTAACTTGACAGCTATAATGCATAGGTTAAATTAAAATTGAAAACATTATTTAAAGAACAACACATTTATTTATTTTAAAATGCAATATAGAGCTGCATAAAAAATAAATAGGAGATTTGGGTCCTTTTAGCATAGGGAGTACTTCACTGAGCGCAAATTTGGGTGGGAATATCACTCTTTACTTCCTCTCCAATCATAATATTTCAGTTACTATTTACCAGCTTCATTGACACTTAAGCCGATTCTTTTATTTTGTTGTAGACTGTAGGTAAAGAGCGCGAATAAGAGTGTTAACTCTAAAGAAAAGGGCTAGGTTTACTCTTGAAAATAAATTATATTTATCCTCCGTTATATCCAACCGACCCAACCCTACCCGACCGATCGGAAGCGGTACCCCGTGGACCCCCTGCTTGCTCATGCATGCTCGTGGAGTCGTGGTATAGTGATATTTCTACTACATGCTTTTCCAAAAATGGATAGGAAGAGGCAAGTTGCATTTCGATCTTATACTAAACGGTTTTAAGACTAGTCTCTATACTATTTTGTAAAAAGTTGGTCATGAAATAAAAAAACTTCTACAAAAAGGAAAAGAAACAAAGTGGAATAGGAAAAGTCGAAAAAATCCGAGACCCACTAGACTGAGCTCCCAATATAGCAACTTTAATTTTAGGGTAAACCAATTAGGGATCTCAATAAACTTCATGATGTGGACTACGTTTAAGCTCTTCTATTTTCATAAAAAAGATATAGTCTTGTAGGAAAGGGAAAAAGGGACATATATAAGAATAGAAAAAAAGGTCATACTATCAAAAGTCTAGTTATAAAAAAAGTTTAAAGTTAGATGTTATGTGCTTTAATCCTTTGAAACAAGACTTTCTTTGATATTAAGTTTTCTATAAGAAGGAATGAAGTTGAATGTTTGAAGTGCTTGTAGAAGTTTAATTAGAGTTCAAACATTGAATTAGTGGGTATGTTCTACCTAATTTAGAGAGTAATGTTGGATTAACAATGTATTAATCATATGCCACAAACAGACCTTTCATTCTGTTGAAAAGCAATGTACGTACAAAATAGTACTACTCATAGGATTTGGTTAAAAATAAAATGCTTATGTTATATATCACCCATGCACATGATATAGTAGTTGGTTTGTTTTATATATTATCACTTTGATTAATCTTCAATTACACAAGAAACATTAAAGTCTCATTAGCAACTTCAGATTTAATCAATTCCTATCGAGAATGCAAGTTGAACTTCCACCACGATGTGTCATGTGCATATTGTACATAGAATATACACACACACAAAAAAAAAAAAAAAAAATTGTAAGAAAACCAAAAATAGGATAACCAAAAAGCGCCATGTACCGTTGACATACTAGATATGGTAAATCTTCCAAATCATCAAAAAGTTGTATAAAACCTTATTTACGTATACATCAATTCAATTTGTCAGCAATCCCTCAATTCCACTAGATGATGAGTCATGATACCCATGGAAATACATGTGATTTTGCACCTAGCTCACTTAACTAACACTTCAGCTACCTATCATCAAGGCTATATATCAAACATGCATGACTCCTCCCATGTCCTTCAACAGAACATTTCAAAGGTGAATTCAAAATTTAAATATAACGGGTTTAACTTTTTAAATTCTTTAATAATATCGATTCACAACCCAACATTTACTCCACTATTTTTCAAGATTTTGCAGGAACATAGTTATAATATATTTCTATAGTATAAGCCAAAAATAATAAATTTAATTGAACCCAAACTCAACATTATAGGTCCGGCTTGCTCCCCTTCAACCACCAAAAAGCTCCCACCTATAGTGTTGGAACCAACCCCTTATACATGAATGGATTTATAGGCAAAATTATGGGGCACGTGAACCCATGGTCTCTCTGCAAAATTAGATATTTTATGTACATATTTTCTAAAATTGGTATAATATTAATTGTTGGCTCCCATGTTCCAAGAAGGTTGAATGATTTACTTGATTGAAGGTTGAGTTAATTACTAAGGGAATAGGGATCAATTCCTACTTAATACATTTTTCCTCGTTTTTAATAGTGCACCCATGTACTAGAAATCCTAAATCCGCCTCTGCCCTTATATGTACATGTTTAGGCATTTTTGGTTGAAGATAAGTCGCTGAAGTTGTTTAGGTTGAGTCAAATTGTTCTTTAATTTTGACTTATATTGCTTTTTGAGAAGTGTAATTGTAGATAAGCAAATTTGAAGAGTTTGTTTAGCTTTTTGGGTTAGAGTTTATAGTCTGAAAATGCGTAGCTACAATTGAATTGATTCATATAGGGGCTAAGGTACAGAGGCAGTCCCTTTGTTATTAAGATGTAACCTAAAATCACTCTCTAAAGTTATGTCACGGCCCAAAATCTGTCTAGTCGTGATGACATCTAACCCGACCTGCTAGGTAAGTCAAGTACAGTCAACACAATTCTACTGGAATTAATGTGAATCCAATAAGTGAAATAACTGAAATTTATATAACTTACCAAAGACTGGTTGTACAAGTCATGAGCTACTATAATTAGATTTACAAACTGGTATGAAGAATAAATAAAGTATCTGTTTGAAGTTTACATAAGCAGAATTTTAAGTTCTAACTACCACGAACAAAGGTAGCTTGAATCTGAAACTCTGGGACGTCTTCAACGCCAGGCTTCGTCTTCCATCACTACGCAGCTCCAAGATCTGCACGCAAGGTATAGAAGTGTAGCATGAGTACAACCGATTACATGTACTCATTAAGTATCTTAACTAATCTCGGTGAAGTAGTGGCAATGTTTTAAATTAAAAGATACCTGCCTATATTTGTACTTGTGCAGATGATAAACAGAAAGAGCAGATACGAGAAAAGATACACACATAACCACGTAATGAATGAAACAAGTATACAAATGATAGATGGCCCCAAAATATCAAAATCTCAAATCACATACCACAACACCAAGAATAAACTCTACAGCTACGAACAACTACAACACACCAATTCGTTGCGGCGTACAACTCGATCCGAATAATTAACATGACACCATGATCCAATATTCGTTATCATACCCTATCATCATCTGTTCATATTATATTCCGTCCTTATCTCTTCATATCATATCATTTCCTGCCCCGCTGCAGCGTGTAACCCAATTTCACACAATAATACTAATATCCATTGCGGCGTGCAATCCGATCTCACACAAATAATAACAATCTCTGTTGCACCGTGCAACCCGATCTCAGACAAATAATAAATTTGTATTTAACTTCTCTACAACAACCAAATACGGAAATTTACAACGTAATAACAAGAAAACTAACACGCGGAAAGCGAATAGGAATATAAACTAAACAAAATAAGATGAGCAACACAACACCATGGAGCTAGTCTCCCAGATATAATGGCAAGGCTTCCACAATGCATGAACACACAGCCAATCTAAAAGTCACCCAATCTAATTAAGCAAAGAGAAGTAGAACATGAAATGGGTAAAAATGTTTATCAAGTAAGAACAGTATCAAATGAAGGCATTCAATGTATATGAAACATGTATCAATTAGAAGCATGTAGCAAGTGAAGACATTTAACAAGTAAAAGCATATGGTAAGTAAAAGTATATTGTAGGTGAAGGCATGTAATAAGTGAAAGCATGTCGTGAGTGAAAGACATGTAGCAGGTTAAAGCATCTAACAAAAAATCACGTGACAAATAGGGGCATGTAACAGGTATGGGCTAATAACAAGTAAAAGCATGAATTCGAAGAGGTCATGTAACAAAAGTAAATCAAGTAAAAGCGTAGGTGTTACAATAACATGTTAGGTAAAGACATAGCTATAACTGTAACAGGCCAAAGGGAAATCGCATGGGTAACTACGTAAAGAATTCAAATGGAAAGTATCATACAAAACTACCAACATTAATATAAACCAAAGTAAAAGGTATGTAAGTATTTAACGAACGGGTAATCATAACAAAAATCCAACTTCCTTCTTTCGCACGGTAATAACCAACAAACCAATCTCATTTCAAATCGCACGAAAATACTCATCGTGCCAACATCATATCAACCGCTTGGAAATAACCCTCGTGCCAAACATAGCTCTAAGGCCCCAATCCTCACACGTATTATGGATAAAGAACTCAGGTAGCA